GCCAAGCGCGACCCCCACCCGCCCCACGAAGTGTTTTAGTTTAAGACGGTGAGGATGCTTGATGCCTTCATACAGAGATTCAAGGAGCGGCTACTTTAACATCTAGAGTAACCCTGATTATTATATTTGCCTATTACCTGTTATTTATTTGTGCATCATGACCATTGCATCGGCAGCACATTGCTTTCGTACCGGGTTGTCCCGGTATTTTTATTAAACCTATAGCCATATTTTATTTCGCCATTTTTGACTGGATAACAAATAGGTAACTCAAGCTCTTTTGCCCTTCTGCACGGAGACCAACCGGGCACTTACACGTGACCGTGAGACCATTTAAAAATTATTTTATAAAACAGAAATGAATGTTCTCAAAATGAGTCGAAAGCTTGTGTGTGGTTTTATTATATCGTACTGAGGTTGCACATCGAATTTCATCCTATTTGAAGTCTGTTTGCTATCCAAACATTTGGATATGAGGTGATATTAGCCAGACTAAATAATAAAAGATTGGCAAAATAAAACTCATCTCTTCCCTCATCTCTAAAGCCCAAAGAGTCACCTAAATCCTAGCCCAAAAGCCTAAGAGTCGCCTAAATCCTAGCCCAAAATCCTAAGCCCGAGGATCGGCCATGAGGAGGGGGCACGAGAGCCGCTAAGGTTCAACGTGCAGATCAAGGACGAGGAAGATATCACCATGCTCATCATTTCGTCAGCCTTGAGAGCGATAACGAAGCAATGGCTGGTCCTGAAGCCTCCTTGCGTCGTGAGGCTCTCAGCTTACAAGTGGTGCGAGTTCTAGATGCAGGTCCAGAACTTGCACTAGCAGCTGGTCCTCGGGAGGGGCTGGCAATACTTTTGCCGCAGTCACAAGTTCGTCTCCGGCGACCTCCTCGTCCTACGGCTCTTCAGGCTCGGCTTCAAGGTCCAGGTCTCCAACACCAGTAGCTCGATCATGTGCAAGGCGAGGTGCCAGAAGCACTGGTACCGGGGCGGCATCCAGCATGCCCTCCAGTTGGTCGGTTTTTGTC